TAAAGATCTACGATTTTCAACCAAAATTCTTCGAAAAGAGAGAGAGAGAGAGATTTTTCTGCTGCTAGACAGTATTTGCAACGATTGAGAAAATCTTTTAATCAATTCTTTATCTACCCCAGTTATTTCTGCGGTTTGGTCAATATCCGTAAAAAAGCTTCGTGCTGTGTTAGCACAGTTCCAATTGCCTGATCCTTGAGTTAGCTCATCAATGATTAACCCCATTCTTTCTTTAAATTTTCTACAAATTCTTGTTTTGGCAAATTTCATTTTTTCCTTATCAGCCTGTCGTCTTTTGACACATGCAAATCTTTAGGCGATATGCAATGTGCAAAATACGTTCCATGAATCTAATCCAAGCATGTAAAGTAGAAAAACCGAAATCCATGAAATCTTCCACCTTTTCCTTTACACTTTGTAGATTGTTTATTTCCGACTGCTTTGCTCCGCAGATATAACAAGAAGAACTGGATGGAGTATCGGACAGAGCTTGACAAACTTTTCCATCAACCATAGTTAATTTCATGTTTGTTTTTATCCACTATTTAAAATAATAGTTGTTGGTTCCGGATTGTCAATTTGTGTTTGAATTTTTTTTGTTTCCAACCTTGTTTTTTTTAGCATTTTCCTTAGCAAATTTTAGCATTATTGGAATAAATACATGTTTCAAAAATAAAAGCGATGAAGGACATCAAACAGAAAATTTTCAAAAATTAAATTAGCTGAATATGTAAACTGGCAAAGACAATTAATGCAATAACAAAAATGTCAATACAGCACACTAATTAACTGTTAAAGTCGTACGTGCCTTGACTGAAAACAAACCAATAAACATTTTATTTACATTAATCAAATTTACGTTAAAATAATTCTAACTTGAACGCGTAAAATTTTTTATAAATGTCGAAAATTAAAAATATCGTTCGAAACGCTAATGAAAAATTAAAAGCGCAAAAAAAAATTTACTCAAACAAATGCTCACTTACGCAACAAAAAATATGCTACCTCGGACTGAAAATTTGAACTTTTATTCACGGGCATACATTGAGGAGGAGTGTTAAATATTTGCAATTCCTGCCCTAACGTTTTTTAGATTAAACTCTTGATTAAAGAGGGTACTTTTATTTTTCTTTATTCACACACACACACAAAACACACAGTTCACAAAAGTGAAGTCGCACAGACAGCGAGAATTGAAATCATCCGAACCTAAAAATTACTACGTGCGAGCCACATACGCTATTTTTTTCGCCATTGTTATGAAAAAGTGAAACAATTTTAAAGAAAAAAATTTATTTTTTAAAAGTTTAAAAGTCCACGTCTAGCGGACCAAAGCTCTGCCCAAAATTATACGCAATATAAATATACTTATAATATATAAAAATGTTCGTACACATGTAAAGTTTTAAAAAATGAGTGTCAAATTAATAAATTTATAATAATGCTTTTGTTATAACAATTACAAACCATCATAAATGCGTATTATGTTGAAACTTAAACAAAGAGGGGGTCCTTTATGTTTATTTCATAAGCATTTTGCTTCCTCATTGTGTAAAGCAAAAAATTTGCTTCCTCGTGGAGGAAGCTATGAATTTTTCTAATTCAATTGATTGAATTAAAATATTTCGAGTTAAAAATTGATTTAAATTAATAAAAAATTTTGGAAAATTAAGAAAATTTCAATTCATTTTGGGTGTAACATATACTTTATATTATATATACGAATCGATTCGTTTTAATGCAAGGAATTCAATTATTTTATTTATTAACTGGAATTTAAAAAAACACAAAATTTTTTAGCTAAAATGTGAAATTTTGATTTTTTAACATTCATTAATTCTTTAAATGTCAATAAAATCTATACTTTGTATATACCAATCGATTCGATGCTTTTTTGAATGCCACTACTCTATTTACATGGGCTGGAGAGCACATTAAAAAGACACGATTTATCTATTATACAAAACAAGACCATGAAAAAATTAAGCGTTCATATAATAAAAGATTTTCTAAAGCTCCTACTGTTACAAAAATCCAATCAGCACACTCATTCATAGTTACTTCAGACAAGAAGCTTGTAGTATTTAGGTACTCAAATGCAACCACACAACTCACAGTTATCCAATACTAGAGTAGTAATGAGTAACTGCAAAAAATATTTTGAATATGAAAACCTATAATTTACAAGATCCATACAAATGATTTTTTTATTAATATTTTTTTCTTTAATCTCTCGTGACAAATTCGTGATCGGCAATTTAAAAAGCTCCAGAGTATCAAGTTTAAAACATTTCTAATATTTTTTTTAGTAATCTTCCGCCCTATTAGGTCCGCCATTTTAAATTTCTTATTTCTGACATCAGATTCGTAATCAGCGACCCCGAAAACCCCCGAGTAACAAGTTTCAAGCGAATTGGAATATTTTTTTTAAATTTCGTCCGCTATGTTGGATACGCCATTTTGAATTTTTCAATTCTGACATAAGATTCGTAATCAGCGACCCCGAAAACCCCCGAGTAATAAGTTTTAAGCGAATTGAACGATTTGTTTTCAATTCGGCCGCCATATTGGATCAGCCATTTTGAATTTTTCAATTCTGACATCAGATTCGTAATCAGCGACCTCGAAAACCCCCGAGTAACAAGTTTTAAACGAATTGGACGATTTTTTAACATTCGGCCGCCATATTGGATCCGCCATTTTGAATTTTTTAATTGTGACATTAGATTCGAAATCAGCGACCCCGAAAACATTAAAAAGAACTATGACTTTAGAATTTAAAAATTTTGTCTTTAAATGAGAAATTTTTTTACTTACGCATTTCCATTTATGATGGTTTGTAATTGTTTTAACAAAAGCATTATTATAAATTTATTAATTTGACACTCATTTTTTGAAACTTTACATGTGTACGAACATTTGCATATGTTATAAGTTTATTTATATTGCTTATAATTTTGGGCAGAGCTTTGGTCCGCTTGACTTGGAACATCCCATAATATACAATATATATAATATACATATATAATATATATATATATATATATATATATATTATAATATATAATATATATGAAATAGTATATAAAATAAAATAATAAAAATTGATAAATAAAATAAAAGCAAAAGAAAAATTATGCAAAAATTAACAACTGTCTTTTTTAGGCAGTTGGCCCAAACTGCCTTAAAAAGTGCTACTTTATCTGCCCAAAAGAGGCACAAAAAAGACACTTTTTCATGTCAATGGAGAAAAAAAACTTTTAAAAGTTCCCAAATTAATTTGAATCTACCAAAAATGATTAAATTTTGCAATTCGACTAATTTTAAGTACTATATAGATTTGAGCAAACTGTATATTAATTCATTGTTGAAAATAAAAAAAATTTATGTTTCGGTCAATTTTCGGTATCCAATATTATTGAAATTCTATGTTATATAATATTCAAATATTAATAAAATTGATGTTGGCATAAAAATTGCCAAAATTATATTGCAAGGCATTATTAATGAAAAAAAATTCAAATAAGAATCTTACAACAAAAATGATCGAACATTCAATGACATTTGTGACTGAAGTATTAAAGAACATTTGTAGATTTTACATAATATTGTTATATCACAATTCTAGAACAAAAAAAGTACAAAATTTCTAGAACATTTGTGACTTAAATGTTCTATAACACTTATGAAACTTATATCTAATTCTAAGAACAGTTCTGGAACAAAAAAATAAAACAGTTATGTAACATATTAGGAACATTGTTCTAGAACACTGTTATCATTTGGTTTTATAACTGATACATGTTATTGATGGCACAATTGTTCTAGAACAATGTTCTTTAATTTTAATAGAACAATTATAGAACGTGTTTGCTGGGATAATACAGGTCTATAAAATAAGGCTTTTTTAGATATTGGAGTTGTTTTCAATGTCTTTTTTGTGCTGGACATGATTCCGGGTTCCAAAATTTCGTGTCTCGTAAGGATTTTGAGTAAATTGGGAGTAAAGACCCCAAACACCGTGTTTTTGAGGATTTTCATTTTTTTCTCCTTAACCTGACGTACTAGAGTCGTAAATTCACCTATGGATGGTGAAGCGATATCATTTGTATATTTGGCCCAACCATTGGTAGATGAAGTTGGTCAAACTTTGAAAATTAAAGAATGGCACTACATATACATTTCTAGTAGGGCTAACAATCGCCAATGGACTGTGAACTGTTATCACTTGTATAGTTGGCCCAACTTTGGGCCTATCAAAAATTTACACCTGTACGGAAAAATGTTTGGTGCATCAGATGCGCAATCTACGGTAGAACTGTTGTACTATGGGTTCAGGGCAACTGTTTTCCTGATTTGGTGCATCAGAAGCACTATACGGGACATCAGACGCACTGTAGAAGACATAGGTTACACCAAACCGGGATAACTGATGTCCTTTTTTAAAGTACAGAAATTTTTAAACTAACCAGTACAACCGGTGCACCAAAATTTTTTCCGTGTGGGAATGTCAGCTTTATACGAAACCCATTTAAAAAAAATTTTAATATAATTTTATTTTTTTCCAAATAGAAAATATTTGTAATAATATCTGTAATTTAATATTATAGTTATACCGATTGTCATGTTTTACAAACACAATCTACACAGCACTGAATATTTCCAAAATATTTTTGAAATATTTCACTGAAAGATTTCAATTATTTCAATAATAAGTCATCATTTAAGTTGAAAATTTCCAAATTATTTCAATGAAATATTTCCTCAAGTATTGCATCAATATTTCCTCAAAGGCGGACATTTTCTTGTTTTATTTCAAGGACATTTCATTGAAATATTTCAAATCTTTCAATGAAATCTTTCAAAAATATGTGCTATTTGGGAATATTCTGCTATTAAATTCAGAAATTAATTTAGGTATTCAAATTTATTTCTGTAAAAAAATAATATTTAAAAATGTTGAATGCAAGTTATATTTTTAAAACAAATTTATTTTCTAGTTGTTGATTGACAAAGAAGCAAAATGGTTAAAGAACAAAGAAACTGCTGTTGAACGAATAAGAGGACTTGCTGAAATATTTGGAGGACAAAAATTATTTGATGGTATTGACATGAATCATTGTTTAGAGGCATGGTTCAAAGAAATCAGTAAGCATGTTGCTACTTTACAAGAAGAGGATGGAAGAAAAATACCTCATTTGTTGCAAGCTTTAGAAGAAGTTCAAGGTTTAAAACAGTTTTTCACGTTTGATGCCTAAAAATATGATAATTATTTTCTAACAGAAAAATTTTATTTTCAGAATTTCATCAGTTGGAAAATAACTTGCACATATCCCAGCATTTAAATGACACAAGAGATATTTTACATAATATGTTACATACTAGTAACGTTACAGAAGACACATTGATAACATTAAATATTGTAACAGATTGCTGTTATGCTTGGAATATTATGGAATCGTTTATACCAATTATGCAAGAAAACATTAAGGCGAATCCACTGACTGTCATTAAACTCAAAGCTCTTTTTTTGAAAGTAAATTCTTGAATGTTTAAAAAAAATTCATAAAAAACCACCATCAATAATAGCTATTTCATCTGACACGAGCGCTAACTTTTTTACTATCTAATCTAATCTTAGGTTTTTTTTGTCGTCTGACTTCAGTAACCATAAGTGAAAATCTGTTAATCCTCTGATAGAATAGATTATCGTGGAATGTGGAAAATACTAGTGATAAAATGATAAAATTTTATGTACCTCAAAAAATGCTAATCAGCTATTCCTAGCCCATACAATAGACTCTCTTGTTCTTCAAAAAGTGTACTTACGATTTCCAAAGAATAACACTAATAATTACACAGACAGGTGTATTCCGCTCCCCTAGTCCACCTGCCAATTCAAAACTATTTGAGATTTAGTCTCGGGGGATTAATATGATATTTTTCAAGATGTAAACTTTCCAAAATTGTAAAGAATCAATTTTATGAAAGTGTTACACTGGTATAGCGTCTTAACCCATTAACGCCCATGCTTAGGCACATGGAAATATTTACAATATCAAAATTGTAAGCAAGACTGCGGTCCAATCAATGAGTTTTGACGTTAAAAATTGTTTAAAAATAATTTATTTAAACAAATTGTTATAAACAAATGAAAAAAATTAATGAATTTTAAAAATCTAACAACGCCATTCAATTCTAAAGAAAAAATTACTAAAGGAACATGTATGACATTTTCAAAATATTCACTCCATTTGTTATAAATAATTTATAAACAAAAAATGCACTGTGGTGCACCCATCAGAGCTCATGCTTAGACACATGGAAATGTTTGCAATATCAAAATTGGAAACACGACTGCGGTCCAAACAATGACGGTCTAAGCGCTGATATGCTGAAAAGCATCCCAATCAAAATAATGATTAATAATATAATATGACCTTAATTACAACCCTTAATACGGTAGTGAATTTAAAACTGTAATTACGACCGTAATTACAGTCATATTTATAGTCTTATTTTTAGATGTTTTTAAATAAATAAAAATTTAGGAAATTTTTAATTTTTAACCTTGAAATTCGTTTTCTTTAATGAAATATACAATCCTGTTCTTAAATCAGAATAAAATTTTATCAGATTTTTCCTATTTCTTACCATTTTCGAGATATTTAGAAAAACTTATTTTTTTAAATTTCGTTGAGGTAAAAATGACTGTAATGACAGTCATATTTACAACCCTAAATGTTACCATAAAAATATAAATAAGCATTTTGAATTGTCGTCATTTCATAGAGTTGATGACGTTTTAAAGGCAACAGTAGGAACCTGGATCACGTATAAGCCATTTAATGCAGATGATATTTCTATTGTTTTCGCCGGATTATAGATTTTCACTTTAAGAAATGTGAAACTAGACTGCAAGAAATACCTTAAATCAGATCGTGAAAAAGTGATATCGATTCCATCTTAATATAAAGCGATCCATTTCAATCAATAGCCTAAAAGCAAAGAGTTCTAACGCGTAGAACCTTCTCATGAAAAGCGATTTATTAGTACTAACTTTTTTAATTTTTAGATGGCATCAGCTTTAGAGACTCCGCTTCTTAGAGTAAATCAAGCTCGTAGCACAGATTTATCTTCAGTTTCCCAGTATTATAGCAGGGAATTGGAAAGTTTTGCTCGTCAAGTTTTGCAAATTATTCCTGAAACAGTTTTTGGTATTTTGGCTCAAATTGTACATCTAGAGACAAATTTCTTCACGGACATTCCAACAAAATTGTATAAGGATAAAATCAAAGATTATGGACAATTGAATGAAAGACTGAAGGTATTTTGCATTCATTTACAATTTATCACATTATAATATTATGTAGGTAAGACTAGGGCAAGAATAATCAGTGATTCTAATGTTTAAACGAATTGTTTAAAAATGGCGCCATTTATTATGGATTAATAACAAAAGACGAGAGAAAAAGTTTATGCACGCAAAATCACCGCAAAGTAACTTGTACTAAAAATTATAAACATAAATACATGTAAAATTTTTCAATTTGAATATCGATAGATCCAAGTAATTAATAACAAGATTCAAAAGGAATATTTCTGATTTTAAATTTTGTGATTTTTTCAGAAGCATGTTTTGGAAATTTTATTCAAATATAAATTAACGTTCAAAAGTATTTTAACAAGCGTTTCGAACCGAAGAAATTATTTGTTTTGAAATAATTATTATTAAAAATAATTAGAACAATACATCGGGCTTTTGAGATTGCCCAAATTTCAAAGGTTCTCGGAGGTCCAAACTGCCAAAGCCTGAAGGGCCTTGTTTTTATTTATGGGTTCGTTTCGTTCTAATTGCTGATATTTTCTAAGATAAGATAGGAAAATATACCACGACTTCCTTTTTATAACTTATTACTATTAGAATACAGGGAACAGAAAAAAAGGGAAGAAAGAATTAAAAGAATTATTAATTTTATTTTATCAATTAAAAATACTGCTGACAAATATATTCCACTCTCTCTTACAAGGAGGGAGGGAAGAAGGATGTAGTTACAAAAATTACAAAATTACCCCGGAACGATACTGACAAGTAACACTACCCAAGTGCCAATCGCCGATTGACTTGAGTCTTTGCGCATTTTTTAGAAGAGCTAAAAATATTTGATACGTACATTTTTATATCGGCAATGAAGATGTTTTAAGGGTTGAAAACAGGGGTTGAAAGTCATATTTTGAGTGGCAAAATATACATATCATGATCATTAAAGAAAGTTTAATTAAAATCATTATTTCATTATTTAAAAAATGTTTCACACTTCTTTCTTGATTTCCTAAAAGATACTGCTCGGTAGAAATTACCGTTATAAACCTTTTTGAATGGGGTGAGTGAAACCTTTAACCCTTTAAGAACCAAATATACAAAATTTTTGCATGATTTCACAACCAATTTTTCAAAGTGATTTTAATCGCTTGAAACTTGTTACTCGGGGATTTTCGGAGACGCTGATTACGAATTCGATGTCAGTTTTTCAACATTCAAAATGGCGGATCCAATATGGCGGAAGACATTTTGAAAATCAACTGCAATTTGATTGAAACTTGTTACTCGGGGGTTTTCGGGGTCGCTGATTACGAATTCGATGTCAGTTTTTCAAAATTCAAAATGGCGGATCCAATATGGCGGAAGACATTTTGAAAATCAACTGCAATTTAATTGAAACTTGTTACTCGGGGGTTTTCGGGGTCGCTAATTACAAATCCGATGCCAGTTTTCCAAAATTTTGAAAATTCAAAATGGCGGATTGTTTTTACTGTCTTGATTCACGTTTGTCATAATCTGTTCAGTACTGTCACTGTCTTTGTCGTTGAAGGCGATTGACTGTCAATTGTTTTCAACATTGCGTTGTTTCTGTGTCGTCTGCCATATTGGATCCGCCATTTTGAATTTTGAAAAACTGACATCGAATTCGTAATCAGCGACCCCGAAAACCCCCGAATAACAAGTTTCAATCAAATTGCAGTTGATTTTCAAAATGTCTTCCGCCATATTGGATCCCCCATTTTGAATGTTGAAAAACTGACATCGAATTCGTAATCAGCGTCCCCGAAAACCCCCGAGTAACAAGTTTCAAGCGATTCAAATCACTTTGAAAAATTGGTTGTGAAATCATGCAAAAATTTTGTATATTTGGTTCTTAAAGGGTTAAAGGTTCCACTCACCCCATTCAAAAAGGTTTATAACGGTAATTTCTACCGAGCAGTATCTTTTAGGAAATCAAGAAAGAAGTGTCAAACATTTTTTAAATAATGAAATAATTATTTTAATTAAACTTTCTTTAATGATCATGATACACTACCGTCCGAAATTGTGCGAACTCTGCTTTTTCAACAACTATAAAACTGTTCAAATCTTCAAAAATATTAAAACTGAAATTTTTTCCTCTTTATTTTATTAAAGCTAATAAAATTCTGAAAGAAATGACACCTTGACAAAGAGAATATGTTAATTTTTCAATTAGATATCTAAGAAAAACCCAATTTTCAATGTTTTTACTATTTTTTTTATTTCTCTGTCAAAAATTAATATTTTTAAACGTTCTTAGGCTCATTGAAATCGTATTTTGTTATGCAATTCAAATTATATAAAACAATTCATGTACAGATTCTTCCCTAGCGTATGCAAACCGTGAAAGTTGGCTCATAAAATGTCAAAAAAATTAAATTTAATTCTACAATAAAATATAATGTTTAAAAATCAAGTAAATATATCATTCTAAACTTCTCTGATTTATGTAAGTAAATTTGAAATTTATACATTTTACTGATCATTTTTTGTCATATAAACATTAATCACAATTTTTTGACATTTTATGAGCCAAATTTCACGGTTTGCATACGCTAGGGAAGAATGTGTACATGAATTGTTTTATATAATTTGAATTGCATAACAAAATACGATTTCAATGAGCATAAGAACGTTGAAAAATATTAATTTTTGCCAGAGAAATAAAAAAAATAGTAAAAACATTGAAAATTGGGTTTTTCTTAGATATCTAATTGAAAAATTAACATATTCTCTTTGTCAAGGTGTCATTTCTTTCAGAATTTTATTAACTTTAATAAAATAAAGAGGAAAAAATTTTAGTTTTAATATTTTTGAAGATTTGAACAGTTTTATAGTTGTTGAAAAAGCAGAGATCGCACAATTTCGGACGGTAGTGTATGTATATTTTGCCACTCAAAATATGACTTTTCAACCCCTGTTTTCAACCCTTAAAACATCTTCATTGCCGATATAAAAATGTACGTATCAAATATTTTTAGCTCCTCTAAAAAATGCGCAAAGACTCAAGTCAATCGGCGATTGGCACTTGGGTAGTGTTACTTGTGAGTACTTACCGTTCCGCTTTCTTATTCTACCGTCGGCAATTTCTTTTCGACGGGCAAAAACATGAATTTTGAAAAATCGTCCTCACACAATCACTTGAGTGGCGCATTCGCGGTTTGCCGTATGTTCTCTTATTGCGCGCACAATTTCTAAACAGGGACAGAAAAATCCACTCTCTCTTAATCTAATTCGTTAAGCCGTCAATTGCAAGGGCAGACGCAGGCATTCCGCACCCGGATGGTCTTTCGACAAAAATTTAGAAAACGAAAATTAATTATATTTAAAAACTTTTCACTTGAATTGATTTTCAACCGGCCTCCGTGGACTTCGGAGTAAGTTAGCGTTTTACTTTCCGTCCGACCGAAATTATTCGTGTGACCACACAAATTATTTCGGGTCCTTGGTACCGGACGGGAGCGCATAGGCTTTTTAATCCGGGCGGTTCCAAACAGAGTTGGAACTTCGATGCTCGCGGAAACCGTACTGAACAAAAATTTAGAGGCTGGAGATGCCTCTACAGGTCGGCTTAGGGCACCTGGTGGGAAATTCTGCTGATTTTGAATTTCGAAATTGTAGGTGGAAAGGGAAGGTGGGGCCTGTTGCCATGCCAGTTTTGCTGAATTTTCAAATTAATAAAATCGGTTTAGTGCAATAGTGTTGAAATAATAAAGTTGTTTCGAAATAAAATTATTTCCAATTATTCTTTTGAATAATTTTGTATTTTATTTAATCTTTAAGATTTTTTTTTAGAATTAACCCTCTCATATAAAAGGTTAATATAATTTAGGATAATGGACATTTCCAAGCAGAAAGAAATTCCATTTTTTTAGTATTTTGAATGTTGTTGCAATTCCAGTTTTGAGATCAATTGTCTCAATATTGATCTGGAATTGATCAGTTGCATATAGATCTGAAAAGCACATTTATAGTAAAGCAATGGCAGGCATAGCTTGTAGGCTTGAGAGATACAGAGGGGCAAGGTAGGATAGGCTGTGAGTAAGGAAGCATAGGTGTATTGGTGTCATAGCGTACAGCATAGACGTCCCCAGCCATACTAATGTGTATTATGGTCGTAATACCTAATGAGTGCGAGAGAGCAAGCATCCACTATGCATTCGACAGCGTAAGAGCAAGAGATAGGCGTACTAGTCATTAGAGCGAGGGAGAAAGCCATGCGACGGAGAGAGAACGCAGTACTTCGCGAGAACAGTGTGTCTGAGAGAGAACGCTTCGCCGTTACATACAATCTTCTTTCTCTCTCGCGCAATGTTGCTGAAAGGTTTTCGGACGATATCTCGGCTGTTTATTATTCAATAAGATTTCAGCAAGATTTATTAGCTTCATGAGGTTGTGGCAATGTTTATTATCGAAGCCGCAACTTTCGCAAAATTGCGGTTGGCTAACTACGGAACTTACAAGTTGGTAACATTGCGACAAGATCCATTTGCTTCTTAAGGATGTCAGAGTCATGAATCTTTATTCTGCAATCTTCGCAAAATTGCGGTTCACTAGTTATTCATGAGTTTCGTCTGCAACGTCGCTGCAAGGTTATTAATGTACTACAATAGACGCGGGTCTTGCAACGACGTTATTGACGAAATTACAAGAATTTTTATTAAAAATAAAAGAACAATCAATCAATGAAGATTATAAAATTATTTCCCCTCATTAATCGATATATTCTTAAAATTCGTGTTGGCTCCAAGAGCTTACTTCATATAAATTAAATTTTTAAAAAGGAATAAAATTATTATTTTCCAAGATGCGAGTTGCCTAATAAAGTCGCGTTATTTCTTTATATTGTTTCGCTGACGTCCCAAAATTCCTGACGGTAATATGATATTAGAGTTGCTACAATCTAACTTGAAGCAAGTCTAAGAATAAAGAAAAATAATTTTAAAATAAAATAATTCTGACATATTTAATTAATAATTTTA